GTAGAGGGTTATTCTGACATGTGGACGACCTAAAACAAACATTCTAGAAACTGAATTCTCCGATTGGAGTTGATTCTACACTACTTTCACTACATTACAAGAACTTTGCAGCCAAGCACTATCACCAATAACAGGCCAACTTCCATCCATCCGATGTCCCTTCATATAAAAAAAGGTCAGATAGATGTGGCATACCAATTATATTTTGTGTGTCTTCTTCATCGACTCCCAAGCTGCAATTTCAGCCTTAAGCAGTAACACACCAGCTGTCTTAACACAATTCAGTGCCAAACTAAAATTGCAGCACTCATTTCATATGTCTAGACTGTGGGTTTCAAGACATATTGGGATCCCTGGCTATGAGAGAGCCGACCAAAATTCCAAGCAGGGAACCGAGTCTTCTCAACCATAAGTCCCCTTGACACTCAGAAGAGCAAAGAGCCTTAATTCCACATTCATTGACAACTGTACTGCCTCTACTCAAAACCCCAAAAGCCTTGGAAAACCATGGGAAACCCTGGCCACTATGGGACCTATCAAGGGGTGGCGATTCATTCCAAAAAAGATCGATTTTTAAATCGATTCGAATCGTTAACTGATGAATCGATTCGTAAATAAATCGAGGTCTAAAAGATGGATTTACAAAAAAAATTTTTCATGTCTGCATTTACAATGTAAATATAAATCCCTTTTACGAAAAACAAAAAAGATACCATAATAAACGATCTCTTATCAGTAAAATCAGGAAATTTTTTAGTTCAGGGAATTCTACAATTACAATTATTTTATTACCATATCAAAGTATTAGGTATAAAAGAAGATATTTATTTTCTAAATGTATTTGTTACACTAAAAAGTTTAGAAAATAGATAATATAGCTTATAGCTCCCAATGCTTAACATCTAAGCTTTTTAAAAACAACCGTATGTGAAGTCTACTGGGATCCAAGCGGTTCCACTCATGACTTGCGATGTTGCCGCAAATCGAAAAAAGGCACTCACAAGGAACAGATGATCCCACGACACTGATATGCATCATGGCTATTTTGTGCACATGATGATATAGTTTTTTTTTTTTTTTGTTCTTTCCAGTCAAGTATAGGATCATACTTCAGGTGCACAGCTGCCTGCGATAAGTAGTGTTTAAAGATACTTCATTCAACAAATTGTAAATAATTTTATGGTTTTTACCAAAACAGAAAAAATCGAATGTCGATTTTTTAGGAAGAAATATTGATTCACTGAATCGATTCAGTGCTACATATCGATTTAAAAAAATCGATTTTTTTTTTGGCCCGAGAAATCGATTTTTCGATTAATCGATCTCAGATCGCAAACCCTAGTCCTATCCCGGTCCTATCCACGCTTTCGCCTAACCAACGCACATGACTTTTTGGGAATATACTTCCACTAGCTTGTGCTGGCTGCTAATGAGGCCTGCCTGCTCTGTGGCTATGCCAGGAGGGATAACGACCTCCTGCTCCAATGCACTGGATTCGATGAATATCCGACTGATGACGGCGTCAGCCGGTACCAATAGGCTCGGCGTCAAATGGTCAAGAAGCCAAGCACGGACATTGGACAAATAAATAAAATAATATTTTGTACCCGAGACATTAACTAGGTAATCTTTGGAAAATATTCAAAATCTCAGAGCATTATAAAATAAGCTCACATTTTCTTTAAAATAAAATCAAGTTTTTTAAAGATAGAAATCTGTAGAGGTAAAATTTTTATTTTCCAGTATTAATATGTGGCGTGTTATCTTTCTCATAAAAAAAAATATTTTTATTGAATTTATCAAAGGTTTATTGAAGCACGACCTAAAATATATAATATCACATCTTAATTTTTGGATGTATATGTATTATAAACTCTAACAAAGTATCGTCATTTTTACATGTATATTAACTTTAAGAGTTCTTTGAATTTGTATTACAGTATTTATATATATATATAATGTACTCTCTATCTGCGATCTAATCACTGACTGGGATTAAACACAGAATATTCGAGATACTCTCATTGTTATCACGAGACTACCCCAGCTTTCAAAACAAAGTTGCAAATTCAGAAAATAGAATGCGAAAATTTCCAGAATGATTTTCTCTCGAGATGAATTTCATTTTTCTATGCAGAATTTTAAATTTTATTAGACACGCAGAAGGTATATACCATCCTTCGTAAAAAAATAATTAACGAGAAAACTACTGCTTTGTGTTAAAAGCGTGTGGTGGGAGGAGGGGCCTTGTACTACATTTTTACACAACTCTGCATTTCAGAATAGAGCTAGTAAGAAGCTTTAATAATTGATGTCGAGCACCCCACGCTTTTGTCAAACTGACATTCATTTTCTTGTTAATCATTTTATTCTTAGAATAAGAATAATTTTTGCTTTTCAGTTCCATTAACTATAAAAGTGTGTTTTTTAAAAAACTATAGTTTATTTTTCATTTCTTAGTTCGATCTACAATAAAAGCGTTCTTTTATAGTTCTTTAAACTATCATTTATTCATTGATAAATTAACCATTATCTATTTGGTTTGTTGTATTTTGTTATTTGTATTAACAAAGACGTTTCTGTTTTAGGGTTGTTACTTAACCTTTTAGTCGCCAAATCTGGAATTGGCCGCCAAATATGGAAATGGGACCTGGAATTAGTCGCCAAATCTGGAAATAGGAAATCTTTAATCCTGATGATCATCATCAGGACAATGGAACAAAATAATTAAATTATTGTATTGTCATCGGTCCTTGACAAGTGTGCAAAATTTCGAATTAATCTGACCGTTTAAAGTGGTTTACAAGATTCCGTTCATACAGGTGAAGCTAATAAAAGCGCGATAAAAACAAAAACCAAAAATCACGACATAGAATGTGAAAATATTCAGATTAGTTCACTCGAAATTAATTTCGTCTTTCTGTGCAGAACTCTAAATTTTTTTAGATACACAGAAGGTATGTACCAGCCTTTTTAAAGAGAGTCAAAAAATAGTACAATGTTATCGAAAAATATTTGGCCTCCAAACCTTCGAAATTTGTTTGAATAAAATTTCCAGTCCTTTCTGTGGAAATTTCTTTTCCACTTACTATTCAGGTAGCATACGCATAAATGTAACATCTTTGCTCAGAATATACTATTTGAAAACAGGTTATAACCATTTCTAACCCAGATTTTATGTTTTATACTTCGATCGATGGAAATCAATATTTTGTTTCAAGTTTCTGGGTCGAGATAAAACATCGCTATTACTTTCTTTTATTTGGGACGGGTTTTTTTTTTTTTTTTTGCTTCAGATTGTTGATTCACCTCAGAATTGAAATACATTTTCTTATGGCTGCTATATTTCCTCCCGTGAAACATTATATTAAATATTGTTTCACGGAAAAAAGTTTCTGTAGCAAGAGTTTCAAAAGTCTGCCAAAACTTGTCTTTCAATTTCCGGTGAATCAGTAATTAATTTTTTTTCCTCTCTGTACAAAATAAAATCTCGGATTTATGAAATATTTTCTTAGTTTTATATTCTCTGGAAGTAATTTTAAACAGAGAAAAAAAAATCTTTTTAAATACATATATATTACTATTTCTGCTTAAGTGTACGATATTATTTCATTCTTCATAAGAACAATGTATACATATATATTCCGATGTCGTTTTTAACCTCATGTGAAAAACAGGAATGAAAATGGAGAAAGTATGAAAAATATTTCAGTGATAAACATATTGTATTATTCAAGAAATCAACATATCAAACATATTGTATTTATATAGTTCGAAATCAAACTTCAAAAACTTAAAATTTAATGTAGTGGAGCACTAACGCAATATCCCATATAATCAAAAGAGTTCATGATTTTTCAGCCTACATCATACGAGGCAGTTCAAATATAAAGGATACTTTTTTAACGGATTCTTTCTACGACATTACTTGACAAAATAACATCAATGTGTTTTATATACATTTATCTTACTATATATAGGAGAAAAACAACTCAATCAAACGTCGACAGATCTCTGGTAATTGTGAACCTTCAGATTTGAAAATTAGCCGACATGCTCCTTTTGTTGAACACACACACGCACACATATTATATATATATATATATACGCTAAGAACGGGTTTTGCGAAAATTCCTTCCCCAAGGTGGTTTTCGGGGCATCATAGTTAAAAAAATCTCGTTTGTGGAGTTGCTAATCCGAGGATAGAACCAACGACCTATGGATCTGTAGCTGAGAAACATAACCACTGGACAAAAGGGATTACCTCTGTCCGGAGGCTGTTACTGGCTTATGAAGATACCGCTACAGTACTCCCCCGCCAATGAGTCGGTGGATTGGCGAACGGATGATATATATTTGATATGGCGAGGATGTGAT